TACTAGTGATGGAGAACGCGATTCTCAAGGAAGGAGAGGAGAGTTACGATAGGGAAGAGCTCGAGAAGATTGCTCGACAGGAAATTGATGACTCCTCTGCAGATCTTAACCCAACGGGACGCTTCATCAGCCGCAACCTGACGACTTTCAAGGATCTCCATGAGCTACAGGAACAGAATGTTACTCTCCGCCGCATGCTAAGAGAGTTGGGCGATAAGATGGAAGGCGCGGAGGCTCGGGAACAGGATGTTATTCGTCAACAAGAGCAAGAAGAGTTGAAGGAGCTGAGGATTCGTGTGCAGACTTATCGCGACGAAATCTCCAACCTTGTTGCGCAGACAAAGAGCTATGTGAAGGAGAGAGACACTTTCCGAAGCATGCTGACCCGTCGACGTCAGACCGTCGGCGATGCTTCTGTCTTCTCTCAGTCTCTTCCACTAGGGGCAGTTCCTCCTGGAGCAGCCGATGAACAGGCTAAGGACATTCCCGACTATGCCGAACTACTACGCAAGGTTCAAGCTCACTTCGACAACTTCCGTGAGGAGTCTGCCACCGATCACGCCGCCCTGAAACAACAGGTTAATGAGCTTTCGCGAAAGAATAGCGAGTTGATGAGCGAAATCAGCCGTTCTAGCAGTCAGCTTGGCGCTGCTACCCAGAGAGCCGAGCTCCTTCAGAGCAACTTCAACATGCTGAAGAGCGAAAATGCAGAGCTGCAGAAACGCTACGCCAGTCTGCTGGAGAACGCCAACAGGCAAGACCTTAGGACCCAGCAAGCTGCCGAAGACCTTGTTGAGACCAAGGGACTGGTGGAAAGCCTTCAACGCGAGAATGCGAACCTCAAGGCAGAAAAGGATCTGTGGAAGAGTATTGAGAAACGACTGATTGAAGACAACGAAACTCTGAGAAATGAGAGAAGTCGCCTGGATTCTCTGAATGCCAACCTTCAAACTATCCTGAACGAGCGTGAACATACAGACTCTGAGAGCCGCCGCAGGCTACAGCAAAGCGTCGAATCCTTGGAGTCAGAACTGCAGTCTACCAAACGCAAACTCAATGATGAGATTGAAGAGTCAAAGAAGGCGACCTTGCGCAGAGAGTACGAGCATGAGCAGAGTCAGAAGCGAATTGATGACTTGGTGACAAGCTTGGGCTCCGTCCGGGAAGAATTGATCGCAACTAAGACCACCAGAGATCACTTGCAGTTGAGAGTAGATGAATTGACCGTCGAGCTTCGCAGTGCCGAAGAGCGACTTCAAGTCGTACAATCTAGACCGAGTGTTTCTGCTGCTGCTACTGCCGCCCCCGCTACAGCGCCCGAGACCGAGGAAGGTCAGGAGTCTGGCTTGACCCGTGAGCAAGAACTTAGCATCGAGGTTTCCGAACTCAAACGTGACCTGGACTTGGCCAAGAATGAGCTTCAGCATGCCGAAGAGCGAGTTGAGGACTACAAGGCCATCAGCCAGCAGAGCGAGGAACGCCTACAGTCTGTGACTGAGACACATGAAGAATATCGGGAGGAGACGGAGTGTCTGATTGAGGAGAAGGACAAGAAGATTCAGGATCTCGAAAGGCGGATTGAGGAGATTTCTTCCGAGCTGTCTACAACGAACAATGAACTCACCAAGCTGCGTGATGAGCAAGGAGAGGCTGGCCGCCGCTTGGAGGAGCAGAAGGCTGTTTTGGAATCTGAAATTGCCAGGCTGAAGGATGAGAATGAGCGTCATAATTCTGCCTTCCAGTACCACAAGGAAGATCTCCGCGCGCAGACTGAAATTGCGCAGCATGCCCAACAGAACTACGAGAGTGAATTGGTCAAGCACGCTGAGGCAGCCAAGAACCTGCAGATAGTGCGCTCCGAAGCTAATCAGCTTAAGCTGGAAGTGGTCGAGCTACGGACACAAGCCGAGACTTTCAAGAAGGACCTTTCTCAGAAGGAGGAAAGCTGGAACGAGCTTAAGGAGAGATACGAGGGTGAAATTACCGACTTGCAGAAACGCCGGGAAGAGGTTCTCCACCAGAACTCTTTGCTACACTCGCAGCTGGAGAATATCACGAACCAAATCTCGGCGTTGCAACGTGACCGCGCGAACATGACTGAAACCGATGACGATATTGCTGAAACTTCGCCACCCAACCTTGAAGGTCTCCAGGAAGTGATCAAATTCCTACGCAGGGAGAAAGAGATTGTTGACGTGCAATATCATTTGTCGACACAAGAAAGCAAGCGTCTCCGTCAGCAACTTGAGTACACGCAGTCTCAGCTCGACGAGGCACGTCTCAAGCTAGAGCAACAGCGTCGCGCTGCTGCTGATAGCGACCACACCGCTCTCAGCCACAACAAACTTATGGATACCTTGAACGAATTGAATCTGTTCCGCGAGAGTAGTGTCACTTTGCGCAATCAGGTCAAGCAGGCAGAAACGTCGCTTGCGGAGAAATCTGCACGTATTGAGGAATTGGTTCAGCAGATTGAGCCTTTGGAAACGAAGGTTAGGGAGTTGGAGAACGTGGTAGAGACGAAGGACGGAGAATTGAAGCTGCTGCAAGCTGATCGTGATCGCTGGCAACAACGTACTCAGAACATCCTGCAGAAGTATGACCGCGTTGACCCTGCCGAAATGGAAGGACTCAAGGAGAAGCTTGCAACCCTGGAAAAGGAGCGTGACGAGGCCATTCAGGCTCGTGACACTCTTCAAATCGAGGCCGCTGCCTTCCCTGAGCAGCTCAAACATGCCGAAGATAGAGTCCAAGAATTGCGCAGCAAGCTTACGGAGCAGTTCAAGGCTCGGTCTAAGGAACTTACCGGTCGTATTAACGCTAAGCAGGCGGAACTGAATACGGTCACACAGGAGAAGGAGGTGATCCAGGAGGAATTGGCCAAGACAAAACAAGAATTAGAGGAACTCAAGGCGAGAATGGCAGAGAAGCCGGCTGCTCCTGCACCAGTACCCGAGACAACGACTGAAGTCAACTCGACCCCCGCCTCGCAATTCCCTGCTCCGACCACGCAAGTGGCTGTCGCCACCGACGACGAACGGGTCAAGGCTTTGGAAGAAAAGGTGCAACGTCTCGAGGCAGCCCTTGCTGAGAAGGATGCTGTATTGGCTGCCAAGGATACCGAGCACGAGAGGAAGGTCAAGGAACGCATCGACAAGATGAAGGAGGTGTTGAATAGCAAGCTGGCAGAGACTCGGGCGGCACATCGCCAGGAAGTGGAGCGACTCAAGACCAGCCTACAGGCAGGTCCACAAGCTCCTGCGACCCCTGGCCAGTCCCATGCAGAAGCAGCTCCTGCAGCTCCTGCAACCCCTGCAGCATCTGCTACTCCTGCGGTGGAAGGTGGACTTCCGGAGTTGACGGATGCCCAAGCAAGGGACCTTGTTGCGAAGAATGAAACCATCAAGATGATCATTCGGAACAACATTCGTGCGCAGGTTAGCAAACAAATGGAAGCTGAAAAGCGAGGCACCCAGCAGAATTCGGAAGCTGCGGCTGCCCTACAGCAGAAATTTGATGAAGAGAAGGAGGCCTTGAAGAAGGCCCACGACGAAAGTGTGGAGGAGAAGATTAAGGCTGCTGTGGAGCTGTCGGACAAGAAGTCCCTGGCCAAGCTCAGTATGCTTGATTCTCGGTGCAGGAATTCGCAGGCCAAGCTCGACGTGGTGCAGAAGGCGGCCACGGAGACCCCTCAGAAACCTGTTGTCGAGGTTTGGGAGATAGCTAAGGTCACCAGAGCACCCCCGGCTGCTCAAGCGCAAGCCAAACCCGCACAGGCTGCAGCATCTCCCGCACCAGCACCATCGCCTGCCACAGTAGCAGCACAACCGGCACGTGCGGCCCCTTCGCCATCTCCGGCGCCGGTAGCGACTCCTGCAGCAAAACCTGCGCCTGCGCCTGCACCGACACCTGCACCTGTCACCCAGCAAGGCACCCAGCAGGGCACCCAGGCGCCTGCTGCAGAAGCAACAGCTGCCCAGCCATCAGCTCAGGCTCAGACACAATCGGAAGCACCCTCGCAGACGGAAGCACCGCAGACCCAAGCAGTTGACGAAACGGCTCCTGAGCAGGGTGCGGCCGGCGCAGTGCCTAATCCTTTCGGACAAAGTCAGAACAAACAGCCAGCGTCGCTTCCCAACAAACCTCCAGCTGGTGCTGCCTCAGGCGGCGTCTTAAGAGCTCTCCAGTCCGGACTTCCAGTTGCGCGCGGTGGTCGAACAGGCGGGCGTGGCGGCGGTCAACAGAATCCTTTTGGTCAACAAGGCCAACAGGGCGCCCAGCAGCAAGGTCAGGGTCAAGGCCAGCCTAGCCAGCGCGGCTCGGGTCTGCCTCGCGGTCGTGGAGGGCGTGGAGGCCAAGGCCGGGGTGGCAATCAGAACGTGCAGACAGCCAATCTCGGCCAGGCGCAGCACGGCCCGGCCAGTCCTGGCGGTGGTCGTGGCGGCGCGCTTAGTGCGAACGCGCGTCAGTTTGTTCCTCAAGGCAACAAGCGCGCTCGGGATGATGGCGGCGGGGACGGCGGCGATGGAGCAGCTGGCAAGAGAATGCGTGGTGGTGGTGGTGGTCAAACCCGGGGTTCTTAGATGATTGTGATTATGGATTGTGGTTGTTACATTTTGACTTTTCATTCCTTCTGTTATACATGCATGTATTTTATGTCCCAGTTCTTCGGCTTATAAGGAAACCGAAGTGAACTACGAATGTTGTAATCCTTAGCGGGATGAGAATCATACTTTCTTTTGTCTATCACGGCTGATGAGTTGTACATGACTCGAATACCCTAAATTGGGTATGACTGTTTCATATCATTCAGAGTCAACAAAGTATAAAATCGATTAGGCGAAATCCCCCATATTCTATCCGGGTATAACCAACAGTAAAGAAACACCATGCATCTCGCTGGAAACCATCCGTCAATCCCAAGCCCCCCCCCCGTCTTCACCCTTTCTAACTATGACCGTTCGAGGGAGCCTCACTCACCCCCTCCTCCGATTCTGCGCCACCAACAACCTCCCCGCAGCCTCCCTCTCCAGATCCAGCACCATCAACCGCGCATCCTCCAACGTCCTCGCCTCCAACGGCGCCTCCCCAGCCTTCTCCCCATCAACCCTCTGACTTTGATTTTGATTCTGTGATTGTGACCATTGATGCACCCCCCAAACCACCCCACGCGTCTCCCTCCTCCGCCGCCGCTGCCCAGCCCCTCCCCCACTGCCCCAAACAACCACCCACTCCCCCACCCCCGTCCCCGCCGCAATCTCACAGCCCGCACACACCCGCGCATGCGCCCCGACATCCACCCGCCGATTGATCACGGCCAACGCATCGATCACCACCCCGGAATGGATATGCGCGCCTGGGGCGATGGACACTGCCGGGCCGATGGTCACGCGCGAGGAGATGCGGATGGGGAGGGCGGCTGCTGCTGCTGCGGTGCCATCACCGGCTGTGGTTGTGGAGGAAGAGGAGGAGGAAGGGGCGGGTCTCGAGTTGCCGGGAAAGGGGGCCGGCGTGCCGATGACGGTCTTCTCGCTGATGATGCAGTTGTTGCTGATGAGGATGGGGCCTTCGTGGGAGTAGAGGCGGGCGCGCGGGTGGATGATGGTGTGGGCGCCGATGGAGATCGGGTGCGTGCCTTGGAAGATTGTGGTGTCGGAGATTTGGGCGCTGGGGTGGATGGCGAGTGGGGGGCGGGTTGTTGATGATGTTGTGGTGGTGGTGGTGGTGGTGGTGGATAAGGGGCGGTGGTGGTGGTGTTGTTGTGGTTGTTGTTGGTGTGGGTGTTGTGGTTGGTTTTGGTGTTGTGGTTGTGGTTGAGGTTGAGGTTGAGGTTGAAGGGGGGGGGGTGGTTTGAGGTGGGCTGTTGGTGTTTGTGAGCGGGGATCCATCTTTGTTATCTTCTTGGTGCTTTGTGGGGATTCGTTGGTTGGTGTGATGTAGTGTGTAGATGGGGGGTGAGGTGGTGTCGGTGTGTTCTAGTGGCGTTGTGTGGGAGGATGAATTGGAGGATTGTGTTGTTGTTGTTGCGAAGCTAAGCTGCGACTCGGAAAAAGATAAGATTGCGGAGATTCGGGGTGGGTTCCGACATGCGGCCGGCTTGCTGGCCTGCCCGCATTTCAGGAGAGTATACGGAGTGCCCCGTAGACGGTCAATTCTAGTTAGCTGTATAGTACGGTAGAAATTCCAGAAGTATAGCTTGTCTATGAAATCATTTGAATCTAATCACACCCAATCCCAAACCGGGTATCTATCTAAAAACATCTAACCCATCTCGTTCTATCATCTCTACTCATCCTCCTCCTCCCCCTCCCCAGCCTCCACCTCCTTCCGGATACCATTCCTCCTCCGCCACGCCCACACCCCGCGATCCACCTCCGCCTTGGTCACCCCATCCCTCACCAGACAGAACGTGACCCCGAGCTCCGTCTCCACGTTCCGGTTCCGCGCCTCATCATCGAAGAACAGCATCTCCTCGTACGCGACCCCGCTCGCCTGCTGGATCTTGGCGAAGTGCTGCGTCTTGGTGGCTGGGAAGATCTGGAGGTGGTCGAAGTAGTCCAGGGCGCGCACGGTCTTGGTGCGGTGCGCCGCGGGGTTGTCGCTGAAGGTGGGGATGATGTGCAGCGCCTTGAGCATGTCGCGCGCCAGGTCCGGGGCGTGGGTGCGCGAGGCCACGGCCAGCGGGATGTTCTTGGTCTTGCAGCTGTGAATGATGGAGGGGACGGCCGGGTAGAAGGTGAAGGATTCGTTCCATCTGCAGCAGATCAGAGGTGTTAGTTTGGAGGTGCTTTATTGGTTGGGTTGGGGTTTTATGGGATGCGCTTGGGGAGATGGCGTGGGATGTGCTTGGAGAGAATGAGGCGAGAGCTTACTTGTCTGTGCAGCGCGAGTTGTTGTCGCGGGGTTTGATCGGGGCGCTGACGTGGGTGTCGACCCAGAAGGGCCATAGGGTGTAGTCGAGGTCGAAGGCGATGAGTTTGGGGAGAGGGAGGCCGTCGCTGAAGGTTTCGGGGGCGACGGAGGTGTCTTCCACGGGTTGCGTGTTGGTTCGTCGCGTGCGCATCTTGTTTGGTTCTGGACTTCCAAAATGAATGTGAGATTTAGATTAAGAAGATGCAAGTCAGCCTGGATTGGGAGCTGAACAGGTCTAATAAATGCCGTCGAGGTCTATAAAAGTGGCAAATCAAGTCCCCAATTTTTTCGTTTATTCACAAGTACGAGTAAGATGGAGAGGACCCCAGCGAAATGACGTTGGAGAAGCTGGTCGAAATCGGAGAAGGATCACGTGGGGCGGGCGATAAGAATGATAAGCCTGCAGAAAGAAAGGGCACTCTTTTTGTGTCAGCAATCAAGGGCTGTTGCCTATCTTCTTTTTTTTGGATTTGTACTTAGAAGTAAATGTAAGCCTAATGAAATGAACTATGGACACATTCGAAATCAGCCGTGGAAAAACACATCTCAGGTCGGAATCCCATCCAGTCAGCACCAAATCACCACCCAGCATGTCAGGCCAGCAAACAATTTTCCGATGATACATCTAGCACACACCAGATACAATTCATTCACCCACACGCGTTCTTCGAACTTTCCCTACCGGTAGTCATCCCCGATCTCAAATCCGCGAATTCGTTCTTCATCAAACTTGCTTGTTGTCTGATAGATAGACACCATCTTCCATGAGGGAGGGCCCAGATCGTTGCGGATGCAAACCACTTTGCTCGCTCCACGATGCTAAGAGTTTTCCAATTCACAGGGGACTGTAGGTGAAGCAGCCCACGGATTCTAGGAATTTCCAGAGCTGCTGGTGAACCTCCGTGCCCTTGATTTGCACACCATAAGCAACGACATCCCAGTCACTTGCGTAGTGCATGATGCGAGTTTGTTGCTCGAGATCCAGGATCCCATCGGCCCCGACTGCTTCAGCGATGATCCGACGCCAGACTTTGAAAGGCATATCATAGCGCCATTCCTGTTTGCCAGGGTCGCGAACGGCGCGTCTTCGAGTGGCAGTCGCCGCCGGTTGAGAGGGTGGAGGGACTCTTCTGGTCGTCTGGTTGGTATCAGAAAGATCGCCGAAAGGGATACGCAGTGCTGGAGGAGGTCCCGGGGCTGTCGACGGCAGGTTGGGAAACTGGAGGTCGAAGCTAACGGCACTCGGATGGAAGGGACCCGAACTTGCAGAGCGGGAGTGCTGATCGGTTGTGTTCACTGCAGAAGCCTCCGAAATGCTCAAGTTGTTGCGTCGGACTGGGAGAAAACTAATCAGCGGCGCCGAAGTCGGCGGCTGAGCTCTGCGTATCTGATACGGCGCGGCGTTCTCGACATGGTAGTATGTGGGCTCGCCAGAGGAGCTATCATCGCTGTCCGGATCCATGGGAAACGAGACTACCCGGCCTTCGGTCGGTCGAGGGATCGGCATCCGCTCTAGGATGTCATTTTCTTCGCAATCTATGGGACGGTCCCGGTCTTCTAGAAGCAGAGCGCGCGAAACAAGCATCATTCTCAAGGCGGTGCTCCAGATTGTGCTGCTGTGCATGCCGTCAGCCCTGATAACCTCGAGACGTACGCGTTTGCAAACTCGAGTGAACTCGGTTCGCAGTTTGCTCTGTAACTTCTGCTGGGTAGCACTATCGATGTCTTGACTCGTCTCGCTGGAAGCGTCGCTGGCCTCCGCGAAGTTGTTGTTGTCATCACCCTGATCTGCTGCCTCGAATTCGGTTTCAACTTTGGACTCTCGGAGGTGCTGAAGAGCTTCGGCTACCTCGATCATGCGGAGCACATGAGGAGCTAGCTTGTCGTTAGGGCGCCAGATGATGCTTTTGCATGAGGCCGCACTCTCAGGCAGCACCGTGGCTTTGCCAAGCACCGGAAGAAAGTTCAACAGCGACTCGGGGGCACGCTGAATGTCGAGCATGGGAATCAGCTGAATGACACTATGACTCGTCATCGAGACATTTGTGAGGATCAAGTATGGGATCGAGCGAAGGCCACGCGTGCAGGCGAATTTCTTCAATTCGGCGTGCGTATGAGCTAAAGGCACCAAAGGAAAAGCATATCAGCTTATCTGTCCTGTCATTGACATAGTGGGACGGGGAATCCCAACTTACCGTTTTTCTGCTCTGGCTTGGGCAGAGACGGGGACTTCTTCTTCCGAGCGGTGCCTTCGTTCTCTTTACCGGCCATGACCTTCAACCGAGCCACGCCCTCAGCCACGGATTCTGGAGTCGATGGGTGTTCCTCCTCATCGGAGTCCAACTCAAGCACCTCATGCGCATCGCCCTCGAGGAAATCCAGGTCCGATTTCATGTAAATGCGCGCCAGGTGCTCGACGCCCGCACGACCGAGGGCATTACCACCCAAGTCCAGCTTGCGAAGCACGAAGCACTTCTGGAACGAGTTCAGGAAATTAGTCCACTTCCGGACGGCGTCGGGGGTCGTGATCTGGATGTCGTTGTTGGACAGATCGAGCTCGCGCAGATCGCCCGCACTCCGCTTGACCACCTCCGCCAGCATCGGCAGCGAGTCCACGGTCAGCCGGTTGCCGGACAGGTGCAGCTCGGTGACTTTGGCCAGTCCCATGGGGTGCTCCTGGTCCCTGAACTCGAGGCAGTCCACCAGATCTCCGATGAACTGGGCCAGGCCCTCGTCGGTCAACACCTTGCCGCTCACGTCGATCTCGACAAAGGGGTCTCGTGCGGCGGATTTGGAACCTGCACCTGGTGGGAAACGTTTTTTCTGTGATGTCAGATCAGGAACCTAGGCTCAGAGATGTCCAGTTGGGTGACTCTGTTGCGCCATGGGGGTTGGTTCGGTTCAAACTTACCAGGTCTTTGGACACGGCTTGGCCGGCCTTGAGACCGCTGATACGTCTCTGTTATGTCTATTATTAGCTAGCCTGTTTCTTCAGGGCAGTGCTTGATATATCGTCGGAAAGGGTTCTCTCACCGCGAGATAATTGAGCTTCCCCATCTTGGGGGCCCCGGATCTCCACAACTAGATCTGGCAGGTTGGGCCGCAGTCAGCACATGTCTTACTTCCATAATGGATTAATATCACTAGCACAAGTGAAGCCACAGAATGGATGTCAGGCAAGATAGAAGGGGGCACAAGATGGTTCAGTGTCATGCTTTCCATCATCGATGGTGTTGCAGGACACGGTCGCGCTCGCGTGCAGGGTGCGCTGCCTGTACAGAAGCAGGCAGGCCATAAGGGATGAAAAGAGGACTGCATCAGTAACACAAGGAGAGGGCATCTCAAACACCTGAACAGTTATACAGTGGAGTATTTTTCTTGTGGGGTTCTTCCTGAAGTGTTGTGCAACTGATCGCGTGGATGGAGGTGGGGGATGAGAACAGTAGACGGTGGGAGAATCAGAGATCGATGGAGATCTGATATCTCCACCAACACAGCCAACAGACATAAACATGCAGCTGAACGAAAACCTGGATATCAACAGCTTTGTGGATCACATACCTTTCTTGATGACAAGAGCTCTGTGTTCAAACCGCCTGTCCACTAGTTTTGATGTGGATGTGGATAGAACGAACAGAGACAGGAGAGATGAAGATGGTGTTGATGGAACGCGGAGGAAGAGAACAACAAGGATCCTCACATCACAACCCATCTTTATATGGGATCATTTCGGCATCTAGATGTTCCTTTGCTTCTAACTTCTCTATCTCATAACATTCACTGGGAGATTCTCAAA